AGTCTATTTTTTTGATTTAATTAAAAGCAATTGTTTGTAGCCTCGATAATATATAAGATTAGGCTAATCTTTTAAATTTACATATTAACATCCATAAAATTACTTCATCAAAAAAAAAAACATCCATAAAATTACCAAGTTTGATATTATCTTCCTTGTCTCTATTTATGTACGTATATACATAACAATGTACGCAAGCAACCCAAATTCTCTTCTGCAGAGAAGCTAGCAAACTCGTCATCAAGAAGCCATGCTTGGCACCAGAAAAGATTGAAGTCTTCAAATTCCTGGATGATTACTGGTCGGTGAGAAGAACCTTTTGATTCATCTGAAACCAGTCGAAAAATGTTGGCAACCACAGGATTTCCGCAGATCCTGCTTCAGATGGATTCATAGAGCAGATTACGGCAATAAGAGAAAGAGTGAAGCAAATTCCTGATGAATATTTTGTTGTGCTGGTAGGGGCCATGATTACGGAGGATGCCCTTCCAACGTACCAAACAATGGTCAATAGGCCTGAGGGAGCACAAGATGAAACCGGCGCCAGCCTCACTCCTTGGTCAATTTGGACGAGGTCATGGACGGCTGAGGAGAACCGACACGGTGATCTTCTGAATAAGTGTCTCTATTTCTCTGGACGAGGAGACGTAAGGCGAGTTTAGAAGTCAATTCAGTATCTGATAAGATCTGGAATGCTAAGACTCTTCTATTCAAAGTCGCTTTAGTATCCCATTAATAAGGTCTAAATATTTAGTATCCAATTCAGTATCCAATATATTCTATTTACATAAAAATATTTTATAATTTAAATTGCTATAAATCGTAACATATTTATAGTAAATAAAGAGAGAATCCCTTGAATATTTGGGATTCTACCTTATATAAGAATCATTTTATTGTACCATCTAAAACAATACGGTAAGACAGTGCACCTTTATAATTATATACTGAGAAATGTTTGGTATATTTTTTGGTTTAATATTTGATTTAATATTTTTTTATTTAATCATTCAAAATATAATATAAATACAGTTAATTTAACTGATTTCTATATTTTATGTGTATGATTGTATCATTATACTTATTTATTTTTAATTTTAAACTAAAAAATAATAATTTTTTAATGATTAAATCGAAAATTATTGAACAAAATATTAAAATATAAGGTGTACCAATCACTGTCCTTATATACAAATATATTTTTTATCCTTAATTAATTTTTGCTTTACAGGATACCGGCATAGGAAAGGACCCTTATCTTTTAGCCATTTACACATCATTTCAAGAGAGGGGAACCGCTATCTACCATGGGAACATGGGGACACTGCCCAAGGAGAAAGGAGACCTGAAATTGGCTAAAATCTGCGGCACCATTGCCGCAGACGAAATGCGCCACGAGACTGCGTATACTAAATTAGTAGGAAAGTTGTTCGAGATGGATCCCAACGGTACCGTCCAGGCTCTTGCCCACATGATGTGGAGGAAAATCAGCATGCCAGGGGAGTTGATGTATGACGGCGCGACGACAACTTTTTCATGCACTTCTCATCTGTTGTAGAAAGTGCTGGGGTTTACACTCTCAGCGATTATATTGATATATTGGATGCCCTGGTGGAGAAGTGGAAAGTCAAGGATCTCACTGGACTTTCAGCTGAAGGGCAGGAAGCTCAGGAATTTGTGTGTGATCATTTGCCTCAGAAACTTAGAAGGCTGGAGGAGAGGGCTGAAAGAAGAGCCAAGAAAAGACAGACTATTCCGTTTACTTGGATCTTCAACAGAGCAGTTTAACTCGATAAAGAAATATTATATATATATATATAGAAGAAGCAGGCACCAGAAGTATCAAAATCATATTAATCTTCATGTTTCTTGCTGTGTAAAATAAGTAGTGGAGCATGCTTTCGTTTAAGATTTTTTTTTTTTTTTT